ATTTATAATTTGTACAATTAACCTCCCTGTGGTTCGATCCCGGTCTTGCCGGGTTATTTATTACTTCGACACTCTTGCATTTGGGAGAAGACATCAATTTTTTAGTCGTGACAATACTCAACAAGTTATGTTTAATAGCTTGAACATAATAAACATCTGCAATGTAACTATGATTGCCATTTTTCAAACGAATTGAGATGTTGCATCTTTTTTTCACTGGAACTTTAAAGGTGTCTCTAAAAGTGACTTGGCCTTTTACAGTTTCATCTAGATCTTCACATAAATCTCATTGACCACTCATATAATTGCTAGGTCCAGAATCCAAATACCATATATTCTCCTGATTCTCACTTAGTCCTTGTTGGACTAATAATGCAATTGGTCCTCTAATGATAGCATCCTTCTTTGTATAGTTGGCTAGTTCACATACCTCTATTAGAGCTTTCCTTCGACATTCAGTGTTATAGTGCCTAAATTGATTACAACTATAACACTGAATATTTTTCTTGTCATGGTTATTATAACCGCCTCTTCTTCTTCTAGGAGTAAATGCTTGTTGTCCTTAGCCTCCCCTATTGATGTTTCTACCGCCTCTTTCTCTGAATCCTGTATTCCAAGATCCTCTTCCTTGAAACTGTTGAAATCCTCCTCGTCTTTGTTGACTCCTTCCTTGATTGGTATATCCACTTGCTGAAATCTCCTTACCCTTCTTAAGTGACAACTTTGATTGTAAGACATGCTCAATTGCCTTATCCCTATTTCTTTTCACAATCTTTTGCTCATGAGCTTACAGAGAACTCATAAGCTCATCCACCGTCAACTTATCCACTTTTTTGTATTCTTTAATAGCAACAATAAGAAAATCAAATTTTGGATCTAGGAATCTCAATATTTTTTTAGTAATTCGAGCATCTGAAAGGACTTCTCCATTTCTTCTCATCTAATTGACTATCACCATAATTCTTATGTGATAATTAGAAATAGATTATGATGACTTTATTTACATTGATGCAAATTCACCTCGCAAATATTAAAGACGAATCTTCTTAATTCTGTCAACACCTTTGTATTTTTGTTGGAGAGCCTTTCATATTTCTTTTGAAGTTTCTACGAAAGCAATGATCTTAAAAGTGGCTTCATCAAGACCTTGATAAATGATGGTTTTTCTTTATTGTCTTTGTTTCTATTGGCTCTCAGAAGTTGTTTCTCTGCCTCTTGTAATAAATCTTCTGCTTCTTTCGACTCTAGTTCATTATAGTCATATTCAACAATCTTCATAAACTTTTATGAACCAAGAAATGCCTTCAATCTGATACACCAATTATCATAGTTGTCTTTGATTAGCTTTGAGATGAGTGTTTGTGCATTTTCTATAGTTATTTTGCTCTTTAAATGACTATATCACTTTCTGGGAGCTGAATTGGAGAAACGAACATTGTAGATAGATCCAAAATGCTTTAAACAGTAAGGAACCAGTCTGGCTTGGTTGAAAATGGGTCAAAAATAGGTCATACAGATTAAGAAATTGATTTTAGATGTCGGATGGTTTGCTGGTGCTGAACTAGGAATATTCTGGGGAATATTTTATACGGCTTGTTTGGGGCTCAGCTTGGCAACTTGTACGACAAACTTATACGACTCAGCTGACAGCTTGTATAACTCATCAAGCCGAGTTATCTTGTTGTTGTTGTTGTTGTTGTTGTTCAAGTACACTTACATTTGCCAGCACAAAACCCAGACAAATTATCTTGTTGTTGTTGTTCAAGTACACTTGAGTCAGATATATTTATTAGATTCAAATAATATGAATCTAAAATTATTTATAAACAAAATATAAATATTTTATAAATAACAAATCATCACAAAAATCTAATTTAATATTTTAAATCTAAAAATCTAAATCATATCTTCCTATTGAAATAATTTATTTTTTTATATTTATGAATTTATTATTCATTTAATATAAATTCTATCTTTTATTGTTATTGAAATAAATTTAAGTTAGATATGCGTGGTAGACTCAAGTAATATAAGTCTAAAAATTATTTATAAATAATAAATTATCATAAAAATTTAATTTAATATTTTAAATTTAAAAATTCAAATCATATCTTCTCATTAAAATATTTTATTTTTTATGTTTATAAATTTATTATTCTTTCAATAAAAATTTTATATTTATTTAAATTATATTTAGTAAATCTTAAACTTCACAAGCAACAAGTTAGCGTGAGATGCTAAAACCATAGAAATTCATAGACTCTCTGTCTTTTCTCTTTAATTGTGTTTAATGAAACCATGTCATAAGATGCTAGCCATTAAAATAACTCTTTTCATAAATGATTCTATATGTTATAATTTTTTTAATGTTTGAGACATTTGATAAACTCCATTAGCTTTCACCTAACTTCATTTAAATAAAAGAAGACATTAATCTTTTAGTCGTGTCACGATTAAAATTTTATTTATTAATCATAATATTAATTAGGTATTATGGTTTAGAAATGCAATATTTAATATATATCTGAATTCTAAAAAAGTGTGATATTTCATTAAGATTTTTTCACTTCATCTATTTTTTTAAATTCATATGGTAATTGCCTAATTGCTCCAAATAAAAACACACAAAAAAATAGAAAGATAAATCTAAATTTAATAATGAAATGTATACATAAAATGTTATTTATAGAAAAATATTGCGTGAACATAATCCAAATTTCTGAAATGTGCAAACAAGGAAACTGTCCGCTGTCCGAAACACATTTTTTTCGTTACACATGAAATCACCAAGATATCCTCGAAAAAACCAAAGACCACAGGACCACCATGAAGCCCATTTCCGTCATTTCAAAATCTCACCAGTGGTCATAGAACAGTGCCATCCATTTCTCTGCAAAGCCCTCTACCGACATCTCAATTCTCATTTCTAGCTAACACAGGAGAGGGGGAGGTGCAAAGCCCTCTACCGACATCTCAATTCGCATTTCTAGCAAACACAGGAGAGGGGGAGGAGGAGAAGAAGGGAGTAATTATCTCCAAAATTCATGGGAAAAAAGGTAAAATGGAGCTGGGCCGCCGCTTTAGTAGGAGCGGCATCAGCTACAGCAGCCGTGGCTCTAATCAGTGCCAAGCCAAAAGACCCAACTTTTCATTTGATCAAAATCAACTTCACTTCCTTCAAGCTCAGGTTTCCAGTCATCGACACCGATGTAATACTCACCGTACACGTCACCAACCCCAATATCATACCCATCCACTACTCCTCTACCATCATGTCAATCTTCTACGACGGCTCTCTCATCGGTACGGCTCAAGTCGAAGCAGGGTCTCAGCGTTCGAGGTCTTGCCAGATACTTGAGCTCACGGCCCGGCTTGATGGTGTCGAGCTGATGGCTAACCATTCCGTGAAGTTTTTCAGTGACGTGGCAAAGAGGGAGATGGTGCTTGACGCAAAGGTGGATATCGGAGGTACGGCTAGGTTGTTGTGGTGGGGCCATAGGTTTAATGTACACGTGGATAGTCATATAACCGTTGACCCTTTGTTTCTTGATATTATTGATCAAGAAAACAAGTCACGTCTTGAAGTTTTTCTTGCTTGAATGGGAGTGTTGTACTTATAGTAATGAGTTATTACAGTTGGCTGTGTTTTAGCTTGAAGTTTGAAGATGAAAATGAAATATCTTGGAATCTTTGGCATGAGATGAAAGCAATGTTGGATGTTGGAAGGTGTTAACTAGAAGATAATTATGATAATTGAATAATTAAGAAAAACTTCAAACATAAAGGCTAACATATATATATATATATATATATATATATATATA